GGACAGGTGGACAGATATTGGACTGTTGGACAGGCGTTGGACAGGTGGACAGGTGTTGGACTGTTGGACAGGTGTTGGACTGTTGGAGTGTTGGACTGTTGGACAGGTGTTGGACAGTTTTGATGTTTTTCTTCTTCCCGTTGAGACGTGTTGAAGGACCAGAGGACCAGAACAAACCCCTCTCAGGCCGTTCTTTTCTTCCAGCTCAGTTTTATTCGTCTCCTTCACACTGAAGAGGGGATCAACGCCCCCCCCCCCCCCCCCCCGCTGCCCCCGCTCCTCTCAGGTCACCTGTGAGACTCCGCCCCCTCAGAGGGGCAGCGTTTAACGAGCGCCTCCGTGTCATCGTTAACTGGTCTCCTGGCTCCTGCCTGTGATCCGGACCAAAGGGAGCTCCCGGTGAAGCGGGCGGCGGCGCCTGACGGCGCTCGCTCGTGCTCTGGGCGTGTTGGCGACCAGGCAGCCAATCAGAAGGCGAGCTCTCAGCCACTTCAGCTCTGATTCAGGGGATTAGTGTGTCTTTGAGTCCTTTGTGAGACGTTCAGAGTCTTTGTGGTGTAAAGTGGTCCACTCGTTTCCCGGCGCCGCCTCCCTCAGCTGCTCCCGTCTCAGCCTCTAATTGACTTGGACACTTTGTTCAAACAGACAAACATCAAATCACCAACGTTTTCTGCCTTTGATCCATGATGAACTGACGGACGCTCCTGTAGACCTTCGACAAGATCAAACTTTAGAAACGTTGTTTTTAACGAGGCCGTCCGTTGACGCCCGGCTCCTGTCTGTCCTCAGGACTACATGCAGAACGTGCACGGGAAGGAGATCGACCTGCTCAGGACCACCGTGAAGGTGCCGGGGAAAAGGCCGCCCCGCGCCGTGTCCTCCGGCGCCGCCGTGCCAAGTCCCAGCACCAACGGGCTGACGAAGGACTTGAGCAGCCTGCAGCTGGGTCAGACCTCAGGTCAGTCTGGACCAGGTCAGTCTGGACCCCGGAGCCGCTCGGGCTCGGTTTATGTCAAACGTTGTTTTTATCACTGAATGTGGAATGTTGTGAAAAGTTTTCTTTGTTTTCGTTTTAAAACAAACTCCTAAATGTTCAAATGAAATTAAGAATTTCTTTCGTCTTTTTCTTTATTTCTGTGTCGTCCATAAACACAGTCGCTCTAAAACTGCTCGTTTCACCTGCACCTGCCCCCTGGTGGTCGTTCAGGGAAAACCACCCTCTACAACTCCTTTATAAATGTCGATACTTGACGCGTCACAAAACAATTCTTTAGATTTTTATTGACGCCCGCCGGGTGATGCTTCTCTTTCACATCTGAAGGACGCTGTAAAAACCACCGACAGGGGGCGGGACTTACCTGAACAGGTGCGTCCGTTGCAGCTGGACGTTCCTGTGGAGTCCCGCCCCTCATCTCGTCCCACAAAATCGTTTTAGTTAAAGGCAAAGACACCTGTGCTGTGCACGAGTATTTAGTACAAAACAGCTGAAGAACCTCCGAGTCCTGTTGGCTCGTCACTGGGTGGACCGGACCGCAGCAGCTCGCTGCTCAGCTGCTTCAGTAAAAGCAACGAAGAAACAAAAAGGTTTGAAAAGTCCTGGTGTCTGACATCAACCGACTCGAACTCAACGGAGTTTTAGTTTAAAACTTTACTAGAAGTCCTTAAAAGAGTTAAAATGTAATAAATCAATAAATTAATCAGTAAATTAAAGTAGTTCCAGTTGAAAGTGTATGTCAAGCTGAGAGAGCTCTAAAGTTGAGTACAGACAAAACGAATACAAACAGCCATTTTTCAGCAGTTGAGTAAAACAATGGTGTCCCCTGAGGGACACTTTTAGTCTTCAAGTTAAAAGATTGAAACTTTTCATTTACCGGACAAAAAAACTGAACAAAGAAAGAATTTCATTTAAACTTGAACTAGAAAAAAAAAGTGTAAATAATTTGTAGAGAAAACGTAAACGTCGTTTCCTGCCACGTTGACGGTCATGTTGTTGACACTGAAAGGTTTTTCAAAATAAAACGCCAACCTCGGAACCTGAAACAATAAGAGTCTGGAGGTGCTCGTTAGGCTGAGCGCTAATTGCTGCTCCTCGTTTGTGCCTTCGTCCTCCTCATCAGCTGCAGGACGGCGTGGTGAAACAAAGCGGGAGCGCGGCGGCGTGCACGTGCAGAGGCCAAGCTCAGCATGAATATTCAGCGAGCCGTGCACTAATTATCTTCATGAATATTAATGAGCTGTGCTCAACCAGCACCCCCGAATGAGCTGTAATGAGAGAACGGGGGAGGGGGGGCGCTGGCTGCTGTGCCAAGCTGCCCCCCCCCCCCCTTGCAGGACAGCATGGTCACATGACCGAGGCAGAACAGGAAGCCAGGCGCTGGGGTGTGAATCTGATCAAAGCAGCTGATGCTCCTCGTTCGTACAACTTTATTTATAAAGAGCGACGTGTCAATAAACGCCTCGTCCAGACGACGTTGTTGCTCAATAATCCAGGGAGATTAGCGCTAGCTTGCTGTAGTTCTGCTCCAGCCAGCAGGGGGCAGTGTAATGAACGTGTGGTGCTGACCTCCTCCCTCAGGTTCAGTGTCCAGCAGCTCCTCCGTGTCCCAGATGGTCAGCGGCGTGGGCCTGGTGTCCTTCAACAGCCGCAGCCTGGAGGGGATGCACCAGCGCTCCTACTCCGTGTCCAGCGCCGACCAGTGGACCGATGCCACCGTCATCGCCAACTCCGGAGTCGGCACAGGTCAGTGACGATCACTTCCTGATGATTCCATGGGCCACATAGCAGCTCCACTAGGACCTGTGAGCCCCCCTGTGGAGCTCCTGGAGGGGGCGTGGCTCGTCTCCCCCTGCCCAGCTGTTGGAGCTCCTCTGTTTCTCTAACGAACTAATGGACCCGGTGTGTTTGACTTGAAGAGGCAGCATTACAACCTGAGGACCAAACAAAGCCAGGGAGATTGGCAGCTGTCAAATCATGTGTGTCGTCATGACGACACACATGATTTGACAGCTGTGTTGAACCCTCTGGTCGTCCTCAAACAGTGTTTAAAGCTGTGAAACACTTGGAGTCCCAGGAGCTAGAAACACGTCAGAAAGCAAGCGCTCAGTCCTGGTTTCTGAGGATCTGAGGACTTTAGTCCCTAAACTGGTTTCAGAGCTGTGAGAAACACACACCAGTCACAGTTTATTCATTTCTTCTTCCAACATGTAGAACTGCACACAGTGGGGCAGTGGTTAGAGCGGCCGCCTCACAGCAACAAGGTCGCACGTTTACTCTGTACACCCAGTCCAGAACCAAATCACACACCAGTTTTAAAACAGGCTTTTAAACCAGTTCAAAGACGCGCTTTAAACCAGTTCAAACCAGTTTAAAGACATGCTTTAAACCAGTTTAAAGACATGCTTTAAACCAGTTTAAAGATGTGCTTTAAACCAGTTTAAAGCCATTCTTTAAACCAGTTTAAAGACATGCTTTAAATCAGTTTAAACCAGTTTAAAGCCATTCTTTAAACCAGTTTAAAGACATGCTTTAAACCAGTTTAAACACATGTTTAAACCAGTTTAAACCAGTTTACAGCATTCTTTAAACTGGATTAAATAATGGCTTTAAACCAGTTTAAAGGCATGCTTTAAACCAGTTTAAAGACATTATTTAATCCAGTTTAAAGACATGCTTTAAACCAGTTTAAAGACATGCTTTAAAC